AACGTGGGGCCAGCGCAAAGCCCCCTTGCACCCCCTGCTGCCCTGCCCCGGGCCAACCGCAGCTACATGCACTACCTCATGCCCAAGCGCGGCATCCTGTCGCTGCACAGCGGCTGCAACGTGGGCGCTCACGGTGATGTCACACTCTTCTTCGGCCTCAGCGGTGAGAAATTTTGAGACAAGATTAGCGCATCCCATCGGCCACAAGGGCGTGCGCCGGGGGTGGGGGGGGGCGGCAGGGAGGGAGGCGCTGGGACCATGGTGACAGGGGGTAAGTCTTTGCTGTTGTGTCTTGCCTGCGTGCCAATCAGGAAGAGAGCGCCATCCAGCAAAGCGTCCAGGGAGGTGGCTCGCATGCTGATCTGCATGGCGGAGCCACTCCCCGCGGCTTTGCAGTCACCTTGCGGAGCATGCCGCCTCGATTACCGCTGCCGACAGGTCAACACGGGTGTGAGGAGGCACCCATGTACGCAACCACGCACGCACGCACGCACGCACGCACGCACGCTGTCAGCACGCATGCACCCCCGCGCCCACGCTCGCACGCACGCTGTCAACACACACCCACACTCGCGCGCACACACCCACGCTCGCACGCCACACGCACGCGCCCACGCATGCATGCACCCACGCACCCACGGGCACGCGCTTGACCTGCCATACGTCTTCGCTACGCGCAGCCCCACGTTGACTGCACCCCTGCCTTTGCACTGCACCCGCCGACTCAGGCACGGGCAAGACCACGTTGTCGACTGAGCCGCACCGCCCCCTCATCGGGGACGACGAGCACTGCTGGGGTGAGCCTTTGGGAGTCCGAGGTTTAGCTTTCTGCCCAAGGTTGGGGGCGAAGGCCTGCTGCCGCCGACACCGTCCACAGCAGAAGGGGGGTTGCGGATTTGGGATCTCTGGTCTCCAATCGGTGCTCATCGTGCTACAGCGAGCCAGGCACCTCGGACTGTCGCCCATCTGCTTGCACAGTGTGTGTGTGTGTGTGTGCCCCTGTGCCATATTGCTCAATACACCATGATTGGCTGGATTTGTTGGGGCGAACCGTCGCCGGGCGACCGCCGCAGGAGACTCTGGTGTGTGGAACATTGAGGGCGGGTGCTACGCCAAGTGCATAGGGCTGCAGGCCAACAGCGAGCCCGAGATCTTCAAAGCCATCAGGTGGGCGCGACCAGGATCGTCGGCACCGCAGTCAGGCCTTGGATTTGCCAATCATGTGTGTATGCTTGCTCCAAGCTGCATGAGGATCAAGCAGTCCTCAGCAGCCAAAGCCCTGAAAGGCAGGGTGCAGCCTGCCATGCGGACCGCAGGCGTGCAGTCGGTGTGCGCCGACAACGTGACGTCTCCGCCCTGGTTTATATGCGCGCAAATCACTTTTTCAGGTTTGGCACCGTGCTGGAGAACGTGGTGGTGAAACCAGAGACCCGCCAGGTCCATTACGCATCGAGGTGAGGGCAACGCAACTGCTGGGGGGTAGAGGAAAACAGCTTGCGCTTCCTGCCCCTCGCAGCTTACCAGCAGCACCTGGGAACTTGAGGTGCTTCCTTGCTTGAAGAGATGTCTTGCAGAACGGCAGGAATGATGTTTCTTATGCGGGATGTTTATAGCCTCAGGAGGGCGGCAGACCGGGAACACACCCTGACCACCCTCTTGCCTACCGATTGACCCAGCACATGGACGGAACCTTGAACAACGTCATTCTGTCCTCCGTCCTTGGATACGCATAAAAAGCCAACTCCTGCTTGCGCCTCACAAACCCACGGCCCGCAGCGCCCTCACCGAGAACACGCGCGCCTCCTACCCCATCACGTACATCGACAACGCGCGCGTCCCCTGCGTGGGCCCCCACCCCCGCAACGTGGTGCTGCTGTGCTGCGACGCGTTTGGGGTTCTGCCGCCGGTCAGCAGGCTGACGCTGGAGCAGGCCATGTACCACTTCATCAGCGGGTACACATCCAAGGTTAGGGTTAGGAGGGTGGGGGTGGGGTGTGGTGC